ACCATTCTGTGACTCTGTGACCAGTGAAGCTACCTGCAGTGTCTGTTTAACCTCCTGTTGAGAGGAGGGGCTCATTCTCATGGTATTTCACGGGGAGCTCTTTCCTTTGCCCTGAGCAGTCGTGTGGAGCTGTGTGTGCTAGAGCTGGAAGGTCTGGGGAGAAGTAAGAGCTGGTAGTGCTTCAGCCTGAGCCATTAGGACCTGGATACTAAGAGTAAATGACATACATCCAAAGAATGTGACTTGATTGCCTCTGTCCTAACAAAGTTGGATAATGCTACAAAGGATTAGTCAATGTCTTTCAATTGAAGGTATGAAGGGAGGGTTCGTTTCCAAACCTCTTCACAGATGAATCAGGAAAAAAACTGAGATGACAGAATGAGACTTTTGCTGCCCATCATACTGACTTTGCCAAAAGGCCACCAGTCAGAGGCCAGGAGTGACATGAACCATGTTTTTTGTGTGATTGCTCACAACAACTGAGATGCACACAGGATCAAATGGTAGTTAAAGTAGCTTTGGGCACAATATCAAAAAAAGAGAATGACAAAAGACAACAAAAAAGCTCTTCTCTTCTATTTTTTTTTAATTGAAATGTACTGCAGAGAAGAAGACATCTTTCAAATTCAAATGAAAAGGCTGACAGAAGACTATCACTGTGTAAGTTTAAAATGATAGAAGACAGAAAAAAAAAGAAATCTTCATGATGAAAAGCAGTTCTGAGGAGAAGGATCTGGGAGTCTTGGTAGATAGTAAATGATCCATGAGCCAGCAGTGTGCCCTTGTCACCAAGAAGGCCAGTGGTGAAGAGTGTGGCCTCTCCACATCTGGAGAACCTTTTCTTCTACTGTGATGGGCTTTTTATTTACTAGAATATCTTCTTCAACTGCTTCAATTTATCTTTGTCATTTACATGAAACAAAGGAAGCCTAAAAAGCATATTTGGAAACCACTACAGGATGAGGCAAGTCATCTCCTACCCTCTCCTACTCTGGAGGAACAAGAGCAGCCTTGAAGAAGGTGTCTTAGTCCAGTAGCTCACAGCTTATCTCAGGAGCCTTCCAGGTAGTAAACCTGGTCCATGGATCCAACCTGTACAAGGTATGATTGAGGAATGACAATATCCAGAATTCCAAAGGACATGTGAAATCTTAAGAAATGCTTCAGGTGGGCAATCAAAGTGAGAAGAGAAGTAAATTTACAGCACAAGAGGAAAAAATGAGTTTATCAAACCTGTAACTCAGAAGGATCTCACCTCATTGAGAGGGATTCCAGAACATTCTTATTCCCATCCCCTCCCCCTTAAGTCAATTCATTTCACAATTGAAGCTTAAAAACTGTCAGTGATAATTTTTACTGTTTAACTTGGGACAACTTGCTTTTAGAGAGCCTGCTGGAAACAAATCCCTGTTACAAATGTCATCTTCTATGTATTGAACACTCTGGTCAAGGGACAGCAAGTAATGTACTTTAATAATGAAAGGTGGCAAAAATATTTTGATCTGTCTCCTTCACATAATATAGACGAATGTCATGAAATAATGAAAACCTTCTGGATTTATCAATGGCATAAAAATTTAATGTCAAATGCTATTGGGACTGTGCTGGGCATTTTAAGGTTTCTAAATGCCATGAGACTATTTTATCCTTTATTTACTGTGAGGTAGAATATTAGTCATCTGAAGAACATATTTTCCATCAGGCAGGAAAATCACATTAACTCTTTGCTTCCCACTATCTCACCCTTTCCCTGCTATAAATATAAAGAGATTTTTCCTCTTGCTCACAACTTTGGTATAAGCTTTCATGCTGCTGCAAAGGGATCAAAGAGTAAGACTAAACATTAACCAGATGATTGATTTCCTTGAAAGCCCTTCAATGAGACTCAGTACTACAAAGGAAGGACTGTTGCACAAACTTTAATGGCATTAATTTTGAAGCTAATCCTATAAAAAAAGAGACAACCTTACCCTCCCCTTATCTGCTTTCCACATTTGTATATGATTGTGCAAAGTGAATATCTGGGAGAAAATCAAAGCTTGTTTCTGCTTTGGAAATTGAATCAGTTTCTCCTTCCACAGAAGGAAATACTAGCACGTATGCTCTGCAGAAGTGGGATTCATATGTATTATAAGACATTCACATCTCCCAGAGCTGCTCTAAAATACTTTATAGACTCATAGAATGGTGAAGGCACCTCAAAGATCACCAGGTCCCAACCTCCCTGCTATGAGCAGGGACACCTCCCACCAGACCAGGCTGCACAAGCCTCATCCAACCTGGTCTTGAACACCTCCAGGGAGGGGGCAGCCACAGCTTCCCTAGGCAACCTATTCCAGCACCTTCCTACCCTCATGGCAAAGAATTTCTTCCTGATGTCTGACCTAAATCTCTCCTCTTCCAGTTTAAAGCCATTTGACTGTAAACGGAGTGAAATGTGCTGTTTATTGATGTTATTCAGCTCATCCTGAAGCTGAAATCTAAAAGCCAGCTGAACTGCACCTCTAAAGAGCCTATTTCTCACCAGCAAGCTCAGAGATAGGTTCACGTATGGAAAACCCTAAAATCAGTTGATATGGATGTCATTCCATGCTAAAAATCAGTTCCCTAAATACAGGTATCTTTGTGCCAGTTGAGGCATCCTCATGGATTTCTTAGATCCTCCCCTGAAGTATCTCAAATGGCACCAGATGCTTCTGTTCAGAAGCTGAATGGAGCCCTCAGTGTCTCTAGGGCAGGTGCCTCCCTGCCAGCTCAGGGCCTGCATTTCTGCTACACTCAGCAGAACATTTATCAATACAGCAAATGACACCTAAAGAGTTGTTCAGGTTCCTACATCCAGTTGTCTGCTGACTGCACTGACTATGTTACTGTTGACTTTAATGGGATCATAAACATCTACCTTCTACAGACACACCTGCACTAGCAACTGCAGAAACTTAGAGTGCTGAATCCCCTTTAGCCATCAAAGCAAGTGACTCTGTGGTTCACCATAATAAAGGAGGACAAACAGATGTTTTCATGGTGCTGTTAATCTGATATTTTCAAGTGGCTAATTTATGATGAGATGAATCATGCCCCAGCCATCACTGACCAAAGCAGCCAGCTCTCCAGTGACTGCAGCCCCTGGGTGACAGTCAGATGCAGAGAACTCATCCAAAGCTTATCCAGAGCCATGTGAAATCCTGCCAGAAGGCTGCTGGTATTGCCAGCTGCAAGCCTAGATGACATTTGCTGAGTTCACTGTAAACAGAGCAGCACAAATTCCAGAAGCCATGTTACAACATTGGTATGTAGGGCAGGGTCACAGGTTGGCTTGTGTTTGAGGCTCTATCTTGGCCTGGCACATTGAGATACATGAACAGAGAGCCCAAGTGATGCCCTGGCTGCTCTTGGTGGAGTCTGGACTTGTCTCAGAACAGGAAACATTCACTTGCCTAAGCATAGTTCTGTTAAGACATCCAATGGCAAATGAACTATGAAAGAACTGCATCTGTCTACAGGTGAACCTGGAGACCAGATGAAATGTCTTAGGACATCCCAGAGAGCAGTAGATGCCCCTAAATGAGCAAATTACTTGAGTCTCATATGCCTCTCCTAGCACACAAGTCAAGGCATTCCACTTGCATCAGCTTCAGTTCAATACAGCCACGTATATAATGCATATTATATGTTATCATAGATGTTCTTGAGTCTCATAAGCCTCTCCTAGCACAAAAGTCAAGGCATTCCACTTTCATCAGCTTCAGTTCAATACAGACACAAATATAATGCATATTATATGTTATCATAGATGTAGCTTGTATGTATAGATCATATATTCACACGAACATGTGTGAGTATATATTTAACACATTCCTCATTACTCTACAGTGTTAGAAAAATGTCTGAAAGGGTGTTTTTTTCCCCTTCCTCTTTAACCAGCCCTGCTGGGTCTCCAAAGCCCAGGGAGCAAACATTGTACTCAGGGTAGGAGAGGCCACAAAGCACCAACTACAGGCAATTACTCCACGTGGCTGGACCAACGAGCTGGGGTCTTGTCCTGCAAGATGTGGTAAAACAGCAGCTTCTGCCTGTTTCCCCTGGGTGTTGAAGTAGAGGTGATGAAATACTGAGAAGTTTTGGAAAACCAAGAGGTTACAGCACGAATTACTCTGCTGGGTCTGCAAAGACTTTTGGTGTGGCCTTGGCCAAATGGTGTAATCAGCGTGTGCTGGTTAATCAGTGTAGTGCCCTGGCCTGTTAAATGGGGACAATATTGTGTCCTTACTGCCATTCATAATTTATCATGTGTGTTTGGACTGTGAGGCTGTAAAAGTGGAGACTTATCAGCTCGGTGCATGAACTCGAGTGCAAAAAAAAAGATCAACTCTCTGGGGAGTTCTGTGGGGCTACTGTAATCAAAATAGTAAATAGTGACTATAAACTACCAGGAGACAGAGAGTCCTGTTGCTGCACAGCACTTGAGACCTGAGTTTTAAATGAAAGCTTCCCAGAATGCCCCAAAGAGTGAATGAAGCTACTTTCTCCATTAACCTTCCCTGCCCATCATTTGGCAGGTTAATTTCTTGGCCTGCGGCCAAATTTATCATTTCAGCAGAAAAACACCTGGTTATGTAGTTTCACCTTGCTTATTTTATGCCAGAGACTTAATTCATTACTGTGCTAACCTGTTCACTCTGTACAACAAACATATTACTACACAGGTGGATTCAATTCTCACTGCACAACATCCATATCATTTCATTTCACCAGGAGCCTTATTTTTTTGCATGCCTATGATCCAGAGGAGGACATGGTGCTGCAAGAAGGACAGGGGGGATGCTCCAGTGCTTTGGGCTATTTATGTGTGGCTTGGAAACCTCCTTTAGCTTGTGCAAGGAGCTTTATTGTCCCTCTGATTGTACCAAGCAGTTTCCCCTGTGATATGATGTGGTATGATACGATATGATACCCCCCCAAAACCAGTGCACTGTGAGGAGCTGCCTGGTTTTGCTTACCCTGAAAAGTGGTGAGGAACCTGAAGTACTTCGGGCACGGGCGCACCACGACTTCTCCCACTTCTGCTTCAGGCCAGCAGGTGATGTTGTCCCATTGCCTCCTGCAGCCTGGGGAAAATAGGAAAATCAGATGATAGGACAAGTGGTGTCTGCTGGATGGAGCAGAGGAACCAGGCAGAGCAGCTGTGCAGAGGTGTGCAGAGCCTGCCACCTTGGTGCAGGCACCTGTAGGAAGGAAAGGCACAGAAGTATTTTCCTTAAAAACGTAGCTGTCAGCTATCCCAGTGCCTGAAGTTTGGAACTGCTGGTGTGTCAAGTTTCCAGAAGCTGGTACAGAAAGAATAGCAGATCTGTGGGAGACCTAGAACCACAGAATCACAGAATGGTTTGGGTTGGAAGGGATCTTAAAGGTCATCTAGACCCACCCCCCTGCCATGGGCAGGGACACCTCCCACCAGCCCAGGCTGCTCCAAGCCCCATCCAACCTGCCCTTCAACACTGCCAGGGATGGGGCAGCCAGAGTTTCCCTGGGCAACCTGGGCCAGGGTCTCACTACCCTCACACTGAATTATTTCCTCCCAATATCCAATCTAAATCTCCCCTCTTTCAGTTTTAATCCATTATCTGTTGTCCTCTCACTACAAGCCCTTGTCCAAAATCCCTCCCCAGCTTTCCTGGAGCCCCTTCAGGCACTGGAAGCTGCTCTCAGGTCTCCCTGGAGCCTTCTCTTCTCCAGGCTGAACACCCCAACTCTCCCAGCCTGGCTCCAGAGCAGAGCTGCTCCAGCCCTTGGATTATATTTGTGGCCTCCTCTGGGCTCTCTCCATGTCCTTACTATGTTGGGGGCTCCAATCAGAGGCAATCTCTCTTCCTCACCTTTACCTCTCCCTGTTGCATTAAAACACCTGGACTGAACATTCCTTCTCTGCTTCCCCCAAATTCCTGTCACCAGCTTTTTCTTTCCCTGGAAATGAGATGATGGTGCAGGGGACACACTGAGCAGGAAGGGGACACTGGTGGCAATCAAGAGATCAGGAGCCAAATCTCTTCCCCAGAAGCAGTTTTTCATCTTAAAAAGGACGAAAAAAGAGGCACACACTACTCCTGGAGACTGAAGAGGGAGAGAGCTGTCACCAGGAGAAGCTCTCAGTGGAAGAGTGAGTACACTCCTAACTATCCAAGCTAGGAATGAAGGTATAACCAATGGAGCTCACTTCAGAGAGAAAGCAGCATTTTGTTAAAATGAAGCATTTTTGGAGATTTTCTGGACAGAAGAAAACCTTTCTGGGAGTCAAAAACCTGCACCAGCTTCCCACAGAGCTCTAGTGGGTTTTTCTGATTTTGCCCTTTTATTTCTGCTTTCTCAAAAGACATTAATGATATCACATAGATGCTACACTGTTGAATAATGCAACATTAGCAACTGAAGCCAAAAGGACTTGGCAGACTTGGATTTAAAAACAAAACAATAACAAAATCAGGCTTGTTTTTGCCTCAACATGTTACATATTTTAGCCTTCTCACTAGAATTTTGAGAACCTTTTTATTTTGCGTTTACATTTCCAACCGACAGTCACTTCAGCTGCTGCCTGGGTTGGATAGATGAGTTGTCACCAGACCTCACTTCTTTATAGCACCTCTGCTCTCGGGTTCTTTGTCATGCCCCAGTAGATTGCAGCACTTCCCCAGTCATGACTAAAGTGCTGCTTTTAAGGACAACAGCAAGAAAAACTAGAAGACGAAGAAGAAAGCTCTGAGAAAATACTTCTCAGACACAAATAAAGGGAACTATGAAAAGCTGCACTTGTTGGCAATTACACCCGGATCTGAAATTCCTCCTTTAAATCAGCTTTTACTACTTGAGCTACTAAAAAGGCTGGTGCCATCATCAGTCTGCCCAGACTGAGGCCGCGTGCTGCTTCGGATCAATAAAGAGAGAGCACAAAAATGCTTTGGAGCTGAAACAAAGATCCCTCAGCTCTTCTTGAACGTTATTTTACAGGTTTTTCCTCTCTTCCTTCTCTCATGAGCAAACAGAAGTTTTGGAATGAAGTCCTGAGGTGGCTTTATCAGAGCCTCAATAATGGAATAACTGACAGTATCTTCCTTGTGAGTGCTCTTCTGTAGTCTTCATTGAAATTCAGATTCCAGGTTTCTAATAACAGGTGCAAAGCTCAATTCCCACAGCATCATATTTATCTGCCACCAAACAGCCAGCAGCTCCAAAATGATTAAGACATGGGATATTCTGCCCATGGAAAGTAGATGGTTTCAGGACAGGATCTTTCATGTTCTGCAGTTGTTTCCTCCATCAACCTCGATAAATCACAGTGCACCCGTTACCTCAGGACAGGTTATAATGCAAAATAAAATACAAGGTGATAGTATCAGATGGCTTTTTAAATGCCCTGAGTTATGCATTGTGAGAAGCTGTGTGATCTGTATCTTTTCCTGTGTTAGCATTTTTCACCCCCACCTGTGAAGTGTGAAAAAAAGCTTTTAGGTGTTCACTTGGGTAACAAAAGCTCTCTCTGATTAAAGTCGAGTGAAGATAGACAAGGCTGCCCTTGCAAGAGGCACAAAGTGGATCTTTACAACTTATTGCCTCTGGAAAGAGTCCTCATACCTGCCTATTAGCTGTTCCAGTACAATTCTTCCTTATTGCCCCCACAGACGTGCTGAGAATATTTGTGCAGCTGCCTGGAAGCGTCTGGGTTGTAAAGGTGGGATGCACAGCCCTAAATTTATGTAGCTAAAAGTCAGATGTGTAAACCTAAAGAAGCCAGTGGAAACCAGAGCTCTGGCTGGCCATTCATGGAAGAATCCTCTTCTCTCCAATAATTAGAAGAGGTCCTGCAGGAGTAATTAGATTTGAATGGATCACAACAATACAAAGATTGATACTTGCAAGACGCTTTGCATTTGCAGGCCAACACTTGCTGCTCACTCTACACTCATCTTGTTACAACATCAGGCAAAATTTGTGCCTGTCCATCCAAACTAGGACACAGGCAACCTTTGTCAAATGGCCTTCCAGGAAATGTTGGGGTTTTTTCTCCAAAACAGGGAGAACTTCAGCTGGCAAACTGCTGGGATCAGGGGGCTGGCAGGCAATATTCAGTCCTGTCAGTGTGATGGATCAATACTTAAGAAAACTATTTGAGTGCAGAAAGAGATGCAGTGTGCCTTGGAAAAAGGAAATTCCTCTCTTCCCTGTGGCATCACTTGGCCTTCATGGATGTAATTAAGGTGACAATTTGTTTTGCTTGATCAAATGATGTTTGGTGATTGCTAAGTGCCTCCCCGTTAATTAATTATAAATATTGTCTTCTACCTTGCACTCAGGATCTGCAGGAAGGAGGCAAAGGTAGGGATCAATCCTCAGCTCAGGCAGCAGCTGCAAATGAGCCAGGAATACACCAACCCTTCAGCTCCACTGCAATCCAAAGAACTGCTCTGCTCATGTGCTTGGTGCCAAAAGCCAAGGAATGCACATTGCCAAGGGGTGTGCTTTGGAAAGGCTCACAGGTGATGAGTCTGGAGAAGCAGTGTGAAAATATGTGACTTTTTCAAGACATTAGCATTTACCACAACCAGGTACACTCTTTAAACTCTTGTCATTATAAATATATATATAACAGTTTGTTTCCTTTTCAATTATTCTAACTGTGACCCCCCAGCACTCATCTTTGCCCTGCAGTTGACTGACTCTCTGTGCTCTCTGGAACCAAATACCTTCCTCTGGAGGGTTGCAGGGAAAAATCCTTCACCACTCTAACAAAGCTGCTTTCTAACCTTATTCAGATGAGCAGATCAAACTGCCCATCACTGCACTGTAAGCCACACAATTAGTGCAATACTAGCAGCCACCTCTCTCCCTCTTGAAGCAACCTCTGTAGTCTTGCTCATGGAATGGGCTGGAGGCTGTTGGCCACGTGTTGGATTTCAAATCTTTACCTCCAGCAGCTCAGCCCCCCTCTTTGCAAGCCAAATACCCCAAGTGCAAGCCAAGGAATGCCTCAACCTGGGCTGGGCTTTGGAGAACCCTCCTCTAAGAGGTTCTGACTCAGAAGAAGTGGCTGAAGACCACTGACACACTGCTGGTTAGGAAACCTTCCTGCAGCTGCAGAAAGCCATAACCTTTTCCAGCGTCTCCACTGCATGTGAATTAAAGCTCAGGCCCTCATTTCCCCTCCCTTTAAAAGGTTAATAGACAGGAAATAGGCCAGTTGTCATGAGGCACAGGTCTACAGTGGTTTGCAGACCTGGCAGACTAGAGCACAGAATCCCATCCCTTTGAGGTGTATCTGCAGGACAGCAAACACCCCAGCACAGCTTAGCTAGGAGGCAGCACAGAATAACTTCCCTTCATGAATAAACATGACTTCCAGAGTTCTGGCACAGCTCTGGGATGTGACAATGCTTGGCTGAGGAAAGAAAGGAAGGGCAGAAAGCTGGTGCCAGGCTTCTCTTTTAACCCAGGTGAACTCCCAGTCCAGAGGAAAAAAAAAAAACAAAAACAAAGCCCTTTCAGCACATCTCTCATCACACCAAATTTTCCCTAGTGAATGGGGTCACTCCTGGTCTTTTCTGAAAGACATTCACACTCAAGACTTTTGATCTACAATGCTGAGAGGCAAAGGTGCCCAGCTGATGTCTGGGGTGCCTTGGGATCTCTGTGTGCTTCTCACTACCCACAGGGAGAGAGCAGCAAGGCAAAGAAAGGTGCAGCTTGATTAAGCCAAGCTGAGATGTCACTGGGTGCCATCACAGGCTGGTTTGATTGCAATGGAAACTCATTTTCATTCCAATTTGACCCCAGCAGGAAGTTTCCAACCTCTCTGGAGTTAGGACTGTAAATTGCTGTCGGGTGACATTTATTCTCTCATGGACAAGCTCAGAAGTGCAGCCTGGGTGCTCATCTGTGGTTTCCCCAGTTGGGTCTCATAATGATCATTGCATCAGCCTTCTTGTCCCAGCAGAGCACTAAGCTTTTGCCTGACTGAAGAAAACAGAACCCAAAAGATGATCTACTAACTTGGTTCCAGACAGGCAGTTTGAACTCAACACAGCCCAAGAAAACCCACCCCAAGCCTTGAGTCATTACT